AAAAAAAAAAAAAATCACAGACAAATCATTCAAGCCTCAGAATACAATTCATCACGGGCAATTCAGCTCAAATCTTCATCGCTGGAAAATGGACACAGCAGAAAAACAAATCACAAATACAATTCCAGACAATGATTTAGCACTGCAAATTGCAAGCCTTCTGTGATCAGGAGGGTCAAATTCAAGCAGCAGTGAAAGGATAAAGATCAATGTCACTCTGAATGGTGACAATTACCCCTTATGGGCAAGATTGATGCGGGTCGAATTCAGAATCAAGGGGCAGTGGGGATTTATCGAAGGCACAGAACAAAAACCCCAGCCTGATGATCAAATCAACCTTCTCAAATGGGAAAAAGAAGATATGACGGTTTTTTCGTCAATTCTGAACAACATAGAGCCACAGCTAATGCATAATCTCGCTGAGTATCAAACATCAAGGGCCTTATGGGAGGCACTGGCAGTAACCTATGGGGCAGGGACAAATTCGTTTCAAATCTACCATCTACAGAATGAAGCTGCTAGACGGGTACAAGAAAATCAGACACTTGAGGCGTACTGGAATGACCTCCAAGGCCTATGGTTGGCTATTGACCGTCGCCGACCAAACCCAATGACTGGCGACAACAACATCACAACATACAACAAAATTACCCAACAAAACAAACTGTTTAATTTTTTGGGTGGACTGAATGGTGACCATGACAGTATCAGACGAGAAATTCTCCGGGAAGACCCACTTCCCTCAGTGGAGGCCGCGTACGGGAAAGTTCGGAAGGAGGCCGCCCAACGCTGAATTATGACGCCGGCAACCAGATCCGGTCCCGTCGCAGCCTCTCCATCATCGGGAACAGAAATTGGCATGGGATTAGCATCAAAAAAATTTTCCGACCGACAGAAATACCAACCATCAGATAATCGAAAGAATACCAGCGGAGGCCTGAAAAAATTAGACAAATCGAAACTCTTTTGCACCCAGTGTAATAGATCAAAGCATACAAAGGAGACCTGTTTTTTACTGGTCGAATTTCTCGAGTGGTGGGAGGATGGCCATAAGCCGGGGAAGCCCAACAATATGAAAGCCGCCGCGGTGACCGGAATCACAGAAATTGTAAATTCTGGCGACAGCTTCTGAATGATGGCAGCCGTGAGCAGCGGAGATGGGGTGCATACCGGGACGACAACACCGGCACAGTGGGCGGCCGTGAGGTCACCAGCACCGGCGGCGTTGAACGGACCAGAGGCAGCGGCAGGAAAGGGCGCCGGCACAAGCAGCGGTGGCACAGGGGTGTCAGGTAACCAAGGGCTAGGGCTTAATCCTTTCCCTTCATTCTCCCTTTCTAATTATAAATCTGATTTTGTGAATAAAAAGCCATGTTTGCCCTTAGCCCATTTATCCCTTAAAGAAACAGATTGGATTTTTGATTGTGGGGCTACAAACACAATGACATATGACCCTAATGACTTAAAAAAAATTAGCCTTGCAAAAATGAAAAAAATCACACAACTAATGGGGGAGTATCAGAAGTTAAGGGAGAAGGGTATACTCAGATTTTTCCAAATATCAATTTAAAGTGTCTTTATATTTCGAGTCTTACGTGTAAATTATTATCTGTTAGCCAAGTTACTAGAGAGTACAACAGTAGAGTCGTTATGTACTCTGATTTTTGTATATTACAGGACATTCTTACACAAGAGATAATTGGGCGTGGTACTGAACGCGGTGGTTTGTAGGTAGTGGATGATATCAGCCGAGAGGGCTCATCCGTCAAGCTCATGGCTCCAGTAATAGACAATTATGGCTTTGGCATCGACGTTTAGGTCATCAGTCCTTAGGATACTTAAAGTCTTTATTTCCGTCTTTATTTTCCAATAACACTACCATGACTTGTGATACATGTATTCTAGCTAAAAGTCATAGGTCTAGTTATTTACCTTCTAATACCCGCATTGATACACTCTTTGGTTTTAGTTCATGCTGATGTGTGGGGTCCAGCGCCCCATACAACCACAGTTTTAATTATTTTCTTCTCCTAGTCGATGATTGTACCCGCATATCGTGGGTCTATCTTTTAAAACACAAATCCGAGGTCTTTGACAAATTGTTTCTTTTAAAAAAATGATTGATAATCAGTTTCAAACACAAATTAAGATTTTTCGATCAGACAACAGGGGGGGGGAGGGGGGAATTTGTAAATCAGGCTTTACAAACTTTTTTTCAAGACACGGGATAGTTCATCAAACCACTTGTCCACATACTCCTCAACAAAATGGGGTCGTCGAACGTAAGAACCGACAAATCCTAGAAATGACTCGAGCCATCATGATTGAGTCCCAGGTTCCTACCCATTATTGGCCTGAAGCCATAGTGACTTCTGTTTATTTGATGAATAGATTACCTACTAGGATTCTTGATATGGAAACTCCTTTGAACTTCCTTTCTCAAAAAACCGAATTGCCCCTACCCTTACCCTACCTCCAAAAGTTTTTGGCACCACCGTGTATGCACACGTACCTAAAGCCACTCGTACTAAGTTTGATCCTTGTGCCATTAAATGTATTTTTGTGGGTTACGCCACTCATCAAAAGGGATATTGTTGTTTTCATCCTCCAACAAAATGCATGTACGTCTCTATGGACTGCGACTTCGTTGAAACTGAGTTCTACTATTCTAAACCACTCAAAAATCAGGGGAGATATCTCAGGAAAATGATTTTTTGAGTTGGTTGATATCTTCTCCCTCAGAGGAAAACCAGACACCGGAAGACACTACTACACAAACCAACGCGACAGTACCAACTCTTGACACTCCTGTGTTAGAAGACAACACCGAGGTACTCAATCTTCATTCCTCTGGTGATGTCCCGTCCGGTAATTTCTACTGATGTTGTGCCTAGTGATGATGAACAGATACAATCCAATGATGGCGAACAGGTACAAATCAGTGAACAGATACAAGAAACAATGGTCGAAGGTCCTCGATACAACCTCAAAAATGATGGCAAAGGCGTACCAAAGAAGCAATATTCCCCAGTTCATCTGCCACGACAATCCAGATACCCAGTGGGTAAACTGGTCAGGGGGAGTGCATCAAATCAAGCCAACGCATTTGCAATCACCCTAACCTCGGAGGATATACCCAGAAACGCCGAAGAAGCACAAAAAAGAAAACAATGGAAACAGGCCATGAATGAAGAGTTGAGTGCTCTAGAGAAATACAACACTTGGGATATATGCGATCTACCGACAGGGAAAAGGCCAGTGGGATACAAATGGGTATTCACGATCAAGTATAAAGCAGACAGAACGATATACCGATACAAGGCGAGGCTTGTTGCTAAAGGATACACTCAGACCTACGGCACCGACTACAGCGAGACTTTCTCTCCAGTGGCAAAAATAGACACCATCCGGATTCTATTCGCAGTTGCAGCAAACAAGGATTGACCGCTACACCAATTTGATGTGAAAAATGCCTTTCTGCATGGTGACTTAAAGGAGGAAGTCTATATGGTGAATCCTACAGGGTCCACTCTAAGCAAAGTATGCAAGCTAAAGAATACCTTGTATGGGTTAAAACAGTCACCAAGGGCTTGGTTTGGGAGGTTTACAGTGGCTATGAAAAGAAATGGGTACAAGCAGAGTAACGCACATCACACATTGTTCTTGAAGAAAAGAGGGGATAAAGTTACATGCCTTATCATTTATGTCGAGGATATGATCCTGACTGGGAATGATGAAGAAGAAATCCAGAGTTTAAAAGGGAGACTTTTTTCCGAGTTCGAGATGAAAGATCTAGGCAGGCTGAAATATTTTCTAGGGATAGAAGTTCTACGTTCCAAAAAGGGGATCTTTATATCCCAGAGGAAATACATCCTGGATTTGCTAGCTGAAATAGGAATGGTGGACTGTAAGCCAGCTGAGACACCCATGGTAATGAATCATGGGTTGCAGATTACTAAAAATGGAAAACCAGCAAATCAAAGTCAATATCAGAGACTTGTAGGGAAGCTGATCTACCTTAGTCACACTAGACCAGATATAGCATACACAGCTGGAGTTGTGAGCCAGTTCATGCACAGTCCTCAAGAAGATCACATGGAAGCCACAATGAGGATAGTCAGGTATCTAAAGGGAACAATTGAAAAGGGGGTAATCTTCAGAAGAACGGGGAACTTAGAAGTCATGGCATACACAGATGCAGACTGGGCAGGAATCCAAATGACAGAAGATCCACCTCAGGCTATTTTACTATGATTGGAGGAAATCTTGTAACATGGAGGAGTAACAAACAGAATGTGGTGGCACTGTCAAGTGCTGAGGCAGAGTTTAGAGGAATTTCTCGAGGAATCACAGAAGTCCTATGGATCAGGAAATTAATGCAAGACTTGGGATTTCCACTACAGAAGGCATGCAAGATCTTTTGTGACAACAAGGCTGCTATAAGCATCTCAGAAAATCTGGTCCAACATGATCGCACTAAACACGTAGAAGTTGACAGACATTTCATCAAAGAGAAGTTAGAAGAGGGTCTCATTGAACTTCCGTTTACTCGATCAGAGGACCAATTGGCCGACATCCTTACAAAGGCTGTCAACTCTCGAAGTTTTGCTACAGTATTGAGCAAGTTGGGTATTGGTGATCCCACTACTCAACTTGAGGGGGAGTGTTAGAAAGGGAAGGATTTCCCTAATTAAGGGCACCATCATCTCCTTAATTAGGGACTCAAATCTTTACCTTAATTAACAAGTGATTCTAGCCCTTCATTAGAATGGAAAAAGATTTGTAAACGATTTGAAAGCTTTGTATAAAAAGCCACTGTAACCAGAGAAATAATAATAAGAAAAACAAGAGTTCCCCTCCAGTGGATGTAGATCACAATGATCGAACCACGTAAAACTTTTGTGTTGTTTCTCATTTCTGTTAATACAACTATGCACATTGAATGAGGGGTATCACATATGGTCCATATAAGGATACAGAGTCGAGGAGGTTTTTCGTCGGGATGGAGGATGCGCCTCTAGGGGATGGAGGTCCCAGTACCAGCAATGAAGTCAGCAGGTTGATTCCCGTCACGAAAAATGTGCGAGATCTGATAGAGAATCAACTGGAGTGTAGCTCTAATACGCATGAGACTGCTGAATCTGTCACGGACCTTGGTGGCCAGCGGTCAAGAGTGTGATTACAGCAACTACGTCCAACTCAATCCAAATGTGAGAAGAGATCGAAGCAGCAATCTGTAGACCGATATGAAGCGCCTGAATCTCTGTGTCATAGTTCGAGGAGGCCTGAAGGGGAGTATAGAAAGCATTAATAAGAGCAACGTTATGGTCCCTGACCAGGCACCCACCTCCGGTAGCTTTGGTAAGTCGGTCAAAAGATCTGTCAGTGTGTAGCTTAACCCAAGGGGGCTCGAATCTCAGTCAACCAACGGCTCTGGGGCGTGGGTACTGGACAAGCAGCAACGGAGGAGGTGCAAAGCAATGGGGTGCGCGTGCAACCTGTCCCAGTCTCTCGGGGTGAGGCTGCCCAGAGCGGTGAGGAGAGATAAGTGTCGGTCAACCTGCAAATAATATGGGAACATAAGAAAGTAATATCCCTATGATTCGCATTAATCCTTTCTGTCCAGGTGAACCAAATAATCAGACAAAGAATCAGAAAAGCTTATCGATAAATTTATTCCAAATTAATTAGAAAATGTATTACAATATAGTAATGACAAATATTACGCGTGAAAAGTTTCATATTAAATATAAATAATAAATAAGTTTTTAAAAAATAATAGAAATTTAAATTAAAAACACCATTTCTCTTACATTTTTAATAATGTATATTTTGAAATATTTAAAATTTGAAATGCTTCTCCTTATAATTTTATTAAAAAAATTCAGTACATTTTTTTTAAACTAGCATTGGTATAATCACTATTATTTGAAGATGTATTCAATTGGGATTTCTAAGGACTTTTTAAGACTTTGGAAATCCTGGTGTATTCAATTTGTTAAGACTTTTTAAAACCTATAAAAATGTTGGTGTATTCAATTGGAATTTTAAAAAGTCTTACAAAATCCTGAGGTATTTAGAGGGTGTATTTAATTAGTGATTTCTAAAGATTTTTTAACAGTTTAGAAATCCTGGTGTATTCAATTTGGATTTGTTAAAACTTGGTATATTTAATTAGGTCTAAAGACTTTTTAACACTTTAGAAGTCCTGGTGTATTCAATTTAGATTTGTTAAGACTTTTAAACACTTTTAAAAGTCTTGGTATTCAGTTGAGATTTAAAAGTTTTACAAAATCTTATATTTAACTTATTTGATACTATGATTTGTTAAGACTTTTTAAGATTTGGTGGGATTTTTAAAGAAAAACCTTATACGAAATCTCACTTCAAATCCCACCTTCAGACTAAGATTTTACGGAATTTCTCTAAAATATGGAAATCTTAACAAATCTCAATTCTTAAAAAGTCTCCTAATGTCACTTCAAACCCAAATTGAATACACATAATTTATTTGACATGAGGATTTATTAAGAACTAGTTATCATCTTGTGCACATGCACATATGTACATAAAATATTATAAGTAATATGTGTGAATTTAAAATTAAAATTATAGATGATAAACATATCACATTTTCAAGATATGTGAATTTAATATTATAATTCTAGTTAATAAACATATCACATTTTCAAGATATGTGAATTTAGTATTAAAATTCTAGATAATGGACATACCACATTTTCAAGATTTAATCATTAATAAAAATAAAATAATATTTATATAAATTATTTGAGTACATATGAATCACTATATTGATTAATGAAAATATAAATTGTGGGTAATGTAATTTTTATAATTTGGAGGGATCGTGGTCAAATAATTTACTTGAAAACTTTATTATTATTATTATTATTATTATAATAATAATAATTATTACTATTCTTATTACAACGAAAATTGTTTATAAGATTTTAAAGTATTTTTACTATACTATTAAAACTATTTACTAATTGTTTCTAAAGAAAATTGTTTCATGAAATACAAAATTAAAATAATAATAATAATAACAACAATAATAATAATAATAATAATAATAATAATATCATTCATATTTCATAAAACCTAATTATGTGTAATCATGTATCTATAAAACCTAATTAATAAAACCTCATTTATTTTCCCCTCCAAAAGAAGTTACAAAATTTGCCATTCATATTTTGCCCTATTAAGTGTAATCATGTATTTTTTTGCTATTATATTATATACTAGTTAATGCTATTACCAACTCATAATATTTCACACTAAATATAAATTACATAAGTATAAACAATTTTATTGTTTCAAAATATTGTTATTATTATAATTGTTGTTGTTATTAATTATTATTATTATTATTATTATTATTATTATTATTATTATTATTATTATTATTATTATAGTAGTTAATGCTATTTTTTTGCTATTATATTATACTAGTTATCATCCTGTGCACATGCACAGATGTACATAAAATATTATAAGTAATATGTGTGAATTTAATATTAAAATTATAGATGATAAACATATCACATTTCCAAGTTGTGTGAATTTAATATTAAAATTCTAGTAAATAAACATATCACATTTTCAAGATATGTGAATTTAATATTAAAATTCTAGATAATGGACATACCACATTTTCAAGATTTAATCATTAGTAAAAATAAAATAATATTTATATAAACTATTTGAGTACATATGAATCACTATATTGATTAAAAAAAAAAATTGTGGGTAATGTAATTTTTATAATTTGGAGGGATCATGGTCAAATAATTTACTTGAAAACTTTATTATTATTATTATTATTATTATTATTATTATTATTATTATTATTACTATTATAATAATTATTATTATTACTATTATTATTACAACGACAATTGTTTATAAGATTTTAAAGGTTTTTTACTATACTGTTAAAATTATTTACTAATAGTTTCTAAAGAAAATTGTTTCATGAAATATAAAATTAAAATAATAATAATAATATCATTCATAAAACCTCATTAAGTGTAATCATGTATTTATAAAACATAATTAATAAAACCTCATTTATTTTCCCTCAAAAAGAAGTTACAAAATTTGTCATTCATATTTTGCCTTCACATTAATACACCCTACTAAGTGTAATCATGTAATTTTTTGCTATTATATTATATAATAGTTAATGCTATTACCAACTCATAACATTTCACACTAAATATAAATTACATAAGTATAAACAATTTTATTGTTTCAAAATATTAGTATTATTATTGTTATTATTATTATTATTATTATTATTAATATTATTATTATTATTATTATTATTATTATTATTATAGTAGTTAATGCTATTTTTTGCTATTATATTATATAATAGTTAATGCTATTAATTTTTTTACATGATTACACTTAATAGGGGTATTAATATGAAAGGCAAAATATAAAGGACAAATTTTGTAACTTCTTTTGGAGGGAAAATAAATGAAGTTTTATTAATTAGATTTTATTTATGAGGTTTTATTTAATGATTAGCTAGCAATTATATATATATATATATATTATTGAAAAACAATTGTTTATAAGATATTAAAGTTGTTTAACTATGCTATTAAAACAATATACTAATTGTTTTTAAAGAAATATTTTTATGAGGTACAAAATAAAAATATAATATTGATGGTAAAATACATAATTTGAAACAATTGTTTATAATTATGTAATTTATATTTATTGTGAATTATCATTAGTTAGTATTAGCAATAACTATTATATAATATAATAGAAACATACATGATTACACTTAATATGATGTATTAATGTGGGAAGTAAAAATTATTAATGTTAAATTTTGTAACCGAAAATGGAGGGAAAAAAGTTAGAGGTTTTATTAAATGCTATTGGCTAGTAATTATATATATATAGATAATAGTTACTATTAATTATTTTACATGATTACACTTAATAGGGTGTATTAATGTGAAAGGCAAAATATGAATGACAAATTTTGTAACTTCTTTTGGAGGGAAAATAAATGAGTTTTTTTTATTAATTAGGTTTTATTTATGAGGTTTTATTTAATGATTAGCTAGCAATTATATATATATATATATATAGATTTTTAAGATTTTGTGAGATTTCTAAACAAAAAAACCTTATACAAAATCTCACTTCAACTCCTACTTACACTTTAACATTTTACAGAATTCATTCAAAATCTAAAAATTTGAAAAAGTATCAAATCCTAACAAATTTTAAAATGTCACTTAAAATCCAGTTTATGATAGGTTTTTTTTTTTTTTTTTGTACAGAGACCTTCCGGTTTCTAGATCCACATGGGAACCGACTAATCCAGAATCGAGCCGGGTAGGACCGCAAGAGCGGCAAAGCTCTCCCTCAAGAGTTTTAACACTGCTGCATTCTCAGGGCTCAAACACGAGACCACTGGTTAAGCTGGAAGAGACCAAGTTATCTCATCCAAACGCTGGTAGGTGTTTATGATAGGTTTTTGAATGATGTTTTATAGAGTTATGCTGACAAAAGATGCTGGAGTGTCTGGGCGTTAGTGATAACGGTTGTTAGAGTATAGAGAGCGAGAGAGAGAGAGAGAGAGAGAGAGAGAGAGAGAGAGAGAGAGAGAGAGAGAGAGAGGGAAGAATGTGAAGATCCTTGTACTAAAGAGTACCCAGACAAACTACTGAAGAGTAGAACGTGCATCAGCTTTGTATCACGACCCGCTCGAGGGCAGACTTGCTGAATCTAAACATTTACATTATATAGATCGGATTCTACATCGGCCCCGATTGCCGCCTCTCTGGCGATCTAACAATTCCCAATCAGGTGAATATTCCGATCACTTCCATTTTTAGCTTCATTTGGACTGTGCTTCCGTCCTAGGAGTGTAGAATCATCCGTTACTTCTGCGACAATTGTGAAATTCTGTAACTGATAGATGAAAACGAGTAATTGAAGCTGAACAACTAGGTTAGGTTTGTAGAAATCAATGTGCTTTTTTCTCTTTCCGTGTTCTATTGGATGAACTTTGTTGTTCAGTGTTTTGAAATCGCGGGTTTATGCATATGATTTTGGCGTTATTGTTGATTAAGGTTCTATTCACGTGTTAATGTTACTCGAAATTGAAATATGTTACACAGCGAAGTTTTACTTCTTCTCTGGTTTCTTGTACAAGTTATGTTCCCTGGAAATCGGATTGAGGTCTTGTTTCGGTTAGTTTAGCGAGGTTATTGTTCTTTGGAGAGCATGTGTATCTGGACATATTCTAGTTGAAACATGGTGTTGATGGTTATTGTTGATTCCTGAAGGAGAAATGGCTTTTGATCTTGCACTCAATACTTTTTCCCCTTGCCCTCGGAAGTGTAAGTTTTTTAATCTTCTTTGACATTGCAGGAAGGATTTTGGTGAAAATGAACTTTTTGCTTAGAAATAACCAGAATTCAGCTCAGCAGCTGCCGTCTATTAAGGAGACTCATGCAGCAATCAATTATGTGTCAAAAGGGGCTACAACTTTAGGAGGACTAATTTCTGAGGAACCATTTACAGGAACCCCGCCTCCAGTAACTCACAATGTAGAAGGTGATGAATTTGGGGATATGGACAACAAGATAGCAGTTCCAGATGAAAATAATGGCTCTCAAGTTGATAGCCATATAGACGTTACAGAAGATGCTGGATTGATAATTATTCCATCTAGTATGATCTCATTCTTTCTCTTCATTGTTCACAATAGTGCGGCTTGAATAATATTTACCTGGTTCTGTAGCATCATTGATGTAGTTAGGTTTATTATATTTGTTATGTAAATACATAGCAACTGAAAAGTGAAAAGGGTTATCTCTGTTCTCTCCTGCCTTCCAATAATACCCCTTACCTAATTGTTAAATATCTCTCCTCTCTAGGAAGAGTTTAAACTTAGATCAACCTTGTTGTTTCATACAAGGATAAGAGGAATGTGTCCATTCCTGAATCGCTGCCCTAGTCTTATGCCTAGCTGATCCAGAGCCATTCAACATTATATATACGATCTGAAAGCATAGCATATTCATGGCATTCCTTTGATATTTGTCATGATAGTTATAGTTGGGTTGTTGAATTGTTGTTTTACTTTCAGGAGCAGCTGAGTCGTTCGTGGACTCTTAAGCCATCTTCTAGATTTCTTTCATATTCCTGCATGATTAAAGAGCCTTACTTTTTGATTAATCGTTGTTAATTGGAAATTTTAGCTTGGAAGTGAAATGCTGAGAGCCTTGTACTAGAGTTTACAGTGAACCATATGAACTCATCTTTTTCATTGTTCGTTTTTCCGTTTCCAGAAGAAATTCCTGACAATTGGTTCGGGGCACCAGACATCTTTTCATTTCGGTCACTTGATCGCAACTTTGTTTTTCCTGGTATGCCTTTATGTGTTTGTTGATTTTCTCCCTGAATTCATTCTATCTTAACTCTTTGCTTCCATGCTCAACTTTGTTAAATATTCTTTTTCTTAAACATTTGTGTATGTCCTTCATCACAGGCGAACAAATTGGAATTCTTGCATGCCTGTCTGCCTATAAACAGGACACAGAAATAATTACACCATTTAAAGTTGCCGCTGTCATGAACAAAAATGGTATTGGAGAGAGGTCCACGAAACAAAATGGAAGCATCGAAGGAGAAACAAGCCCAGGTACTCAGTCATTGAGGGCAGGTTCTGAAGACCGAGATAATCAACATGGTGAACATGTGATGGAAGGAAATACTGATTCGCATAAGGATATCTCTGCTGGGGAATCTCTTCTTAGGATGGAAGATCACAGGAGACAGACTGAACAATTGCTACACAGATTTGAAAATTCACATTTTTTTGTGCGAGTTGCAGAGTCAGATGAACCACTTTGGTCCAAGAGAAGAGCTCAAGAACGCTTTCTGAAATCTTCAACTGCATTCGAGGAACAACTGAATGAAGAGTCCTCAGAAACCCTAACAGCCACTAGAATGAATAATTCACTAAGTGTTTCAATTGACAGAGGACACTTTGATGCTCGCACATCTGGTGGACTGGCAAGAGGCGCTGTCAACTGCAGGGCCCTTTCAAATGGAGACATAGTGGTGTGTCATAGAAACTCGAGAAAAGTTTTATAGGCCTCTATTTATTTCTACATTGTTAACACTGGAATAACACCTCTCTGAGTAATATCAGAGGTCATCTTAATTTTACTGTATTTAGGAAGTAGGTTACTATCAATATTATTACTTAACTTGCTATTGTGGAATCTTAAAAGCTGGAGTATATTTGGAGTTCTTTGCATGTTTGTATAACATCATTTTTTGGAAAATCGTTTATCATAGTCAAAGAATACAGTTCAGGTGTGAGCTTGGACATTTTTTATAATGGTTACTTCCAAGTGGCTGGAATTACATCGCAGTGGGTTATTACTTGCTATTCATTCAGAAGCTTGCTCAGTTGGTTGTGCAATATGGTATTGCAAGTGTTTATGCTGGGTTGGCTTGTGTTGAATGGGAGGACTATAGATAGTTATGTACCTCGCTGTTGCCAGATGTATGAAAGCGTACTGATGTGAAATTAGTTTTTGGTGTCTGGGAAGGCCACTCCTGAAGTTTTAGGATAGGTACAAGGTTTATATAGATTAGCAGCCTCCATAAGTTTGTCATACAAAATTCATCCAGACAGTAGGCAGCAGTGCCTTAGTTAAAATTGTATATATAATTACCTTTGAGCTTACTTTACATCATGGTTGTGGTATCATGCAGTGGTGTTGTGTCTGCAACTGCGACACCCACAAGAAGAATTAAAAGTTATTTTCTTAAATTAGTTGCATGATGCAGTTTTATCCATTTCGATACCTGTTCTAGTTATGTTATCTTGCTTGTTTGTCTCTTCAGGTTTCTTGTTTCCATAGCAGCTTTAGATTTTATCTTTTATGCTATACCATCGATTTGAATTTCATTGCTTCTTGTTTGGAAGGATGCAGGTGCTTTTACATGTGAATGTTGGTGTTCAGTTTGTTAAGGATCCGGTCCTGGAGATTCTTCAATTCGAGAAGTATGAGAAAACAAAGCCAGCCCTTGTGAAGCAGGATATTCCTACTGCTCTGAATCAAGATCCTTATGGCGAGTTACTCAAATGGTTGCTACCTTTAGAAAATTCTGTTCTTCCTCCACCTCGCCCTTTGTCCCCTCCCACATTAAGTACTAGTTCGAGTATTCGGAGCACACCCTCAAAACCCATAGTGTCCGGGTCTTCAGGCTCTCAGCTTTTTTCTTTTGGTCATTTTAGAAGTTATTCCATGTCCTCGCTTCCACCTAATTTGTCACCACCCCCAGCTATGCCTCCCAGCACCACCAAACCTGCCTTTGATCCGGAAGATTGGAATCAGTTTTCTTTCAAACAGTTTGTCGAAAGTGGGAAAAGTGGAAAAGAAGGATTGCTGTCTTTCCGTGGTGTGCCATTGCAGCAGGAGAGATTTTCTGTTCGGTGTGGTTTGGAAGGAATTTTTACACCAGGAAGAAGATGGAAAAGAAAGGTTGAATTAATTCAGCCCGTAGAAATTCGTTCCTTTTCTGTTGATTGCAACTCGGATGATCTTCTTTGCGTCCATGTGAAGGTATAGTCTATTAAACCCCACTTTCCCTTCTCAATTTGTTTAATCATTTATGTGGGATGGCAGACTATGTAATATGTGTTCTAATTGCAGAATGTTTCTCCTTCACATGTACCGGATATGGTGGTGTATATAGACGACATAACAATAATTTTTGAAGAGGCAGCACAAGGTGGACCACTATTATTTCTGCCAATTGCTTGCATTGAATCTGGAAGTGGATACTGTTTACCTAATTTAGCACTCAGGTTCTCTCTCCATGAAATCACCTAATTAAGTTGCAGCATCATGGAACATCTGAGCTTTTTCTTTTTAATATGTTAGTCAGTTAGTGACATGATTACATCCGTAAAGGCTCCAAACTTTCTTTTTTCTCTCCCACTTATAAATGCAGTAATGATGATAAGTTAAATCATCGTGAGAATTTCTGCTTAAAAATTCCTTTTTTCTTTGCCCCTACTTTTAGTCATTTTGATTGGGAGTATTGAGTGTTTACATAGTAAGTGTTTTAGATTGTTTCAGGTGAAAATGATATTCCCCTGTCTGCAAATGAAACCTTAATTGCATTACAAATATCAATCCGTTCTTCTTTTCATGCTTTTCTAAATATGTTCAGTAATGTGAAATCGTGAATCAATATGAAATTTTAATGTCAGAAAATCTCTTTGAAACCTATTAGCTCGATTTGTCTTACCTGCAACAAGTTGAGAATATAAAATTGATCTCAAGTGCAGTTTATTGTTCTAGTGGAGAGGCATACTAAAGCTGCAAGTCCCATTTAAATGTGAAGTCGTAGGTATTGCTCGGTCATGCCTGGGTTTCCCTTTCCTCATTGATGACAATAATATAATTTCTTACTCATTAATACCTGCAGAAGTAAGAATCAAAATGTATGACAAGAACCCTTGTTCATGCCACATATGATGGAAACTTTCTATCCCTCCCAATAATATGTTACCGGTTTTAGTTTCTCATGAGAAGTCAATGGCATGACATTTAGCAAATAGAAGCACCTCTGGTTCTCAATTAATTTAGAGATTTGGAGAAAAAGTGATTCTTGAAATACAATTGTGCATAGGAATTGGTTTTCTTGGGATGGACTAGTTACCTAAATATATTGCCGAAAGCTGTGTAATGTGTAGACCTGTTACGATGCAATAATCTACACACACACACACACAAACATATGTATATACATGTTCATCTACCTAAAATTGTTGTGATCCTACTATGATGTTTCTGCCTCGTCCTTTTTGTTAGTCCACGGCTGTTGATTGACCTCTAATCCCAAGGTGTTGACTATGGTTTTTTAATGCAGGAGAGGTGAAGAACACTCTTTCATTCTCAAGCCAGCTACTACTTTGTGGAGGCACTCCAAGGGTCAAAATGATAGTGACTCACGGCCATCGGGCTTGCCCGCTGGAAATGCCTCATCAAACTGGCAAAACGTGTCCAATATTGAAAATAAACATGGTGGATCACTTACTGATCAGTATGCAGTTCTGGTTTCATGTCGATGCAATTATACCGGTATTAAATCATAATCTTACACTTTGATGGTTAAACTAGGTGAGAATCCTTTATTTGTCTAATTAATCTGCATATTGTGTAGCATCAAAGTTGTTCTTTAAGCAACGGACCAGCTGGAGGCCCCGAATTTCAAGGGATCTTATGATATCCGTGGCATCTGAAATGTCAACACAAACTCTTGGATCTGATGGAACAAAGCTTCCAGTTCAGGTTATCGAAATCAATTCACGTGGACACATTTTTTTTTCTTTTCTTTATTAGTTAATTGCAGTTTCATCTTACGTGTTTCAAATTTCAGGTCTTAACTCTTCAAGCATCTAATATGACACCGGACAATCTGACTCTAACAGTTCTTGCCCCAGCTTCATTCACTTCTCCCTCTGTAGTGCCTTTGAGTGGTTCGCCTACCTCACCTTTGAGTTGGTTTTCTCCTTCTGCTGGGTTAATTGAGAGGGTGAACACTGATACGCAAGGACAAAAGGTAGAAGATGGGCCGGTATCTGAAGCTCCAAACAGTGATCTGGGTTGCACCCATTTATGGTTGCAGAGTAGAGTTCCACTGGGGTACATAACTCTTTCTTTTTATTTCTTGATTTTTTTAAAAAAAATGTGCTCATTGACTCAAGTATTTTTCATTGCCCTAGATGTGTTCCTTCTCAATCTATGGCAACCGTCAAGCTTGAAGTACTTCCGCTGACTGATGGTATAATCACCCTTGATTCTCTACAGATAGAGGTTAAGGAGAAAGGTAAAACAAATATGTTCTCAAGGTTATTTAATGTCTCACTTCCTGTCTCATCATCAATTAAAAAAAAAAAAAAAAAAAACATTGACAAAGATGCATCTTCTTTAGTTGATCAATGATTTTTTTTTTTTACTAGTAAAGTGCACGTGCGATTCACGTGGTGACGAATATTTTTGGCCGATAAGATAAATTTCTTTATTAAATATATGATTGCAAGAACAAAATAAAATATAGAACAAATAAACTCTTAATATATATATATTTTTTTTTTTTCAAAAAACAACATAATGATGTCGTAACATAAAAGGATTTACATAACATGTTACAAACTCAACAAAAATATATAAAAAAATAAGTCCCTCCTAATAATAATAAAAAATAAATAAATACGGACCTTGTATATTAGAGTAATGCTCCCTTACCCACGGTGGACACATTTTAATATGTCCACTGCTTATGTGGCATGCACACATTGGTGATGTATTTTTTTGAACATAATAACATCACCAATGTGTGTATGTCACGTAAGCAGTGGGCATATTAATGTGTGCCCACCGTGGGTAGGTGAGCATTATTAATGTATATTATAGATGCATGAGTTATTTTATCTATTTATAAGGTTCGAGAGTTTTTTTTTTTTTTTCATTTTAGTTTTGAATTCTCATAAAATAACATTCATACTCATTGGAGTCCAATACATTAATAGTATTGCAAAATTATTCTTAATTAATTTAGTAAAACGTCTACTTTATTCAACACTTATAAATATTTTAGCCGAACATATAGTCAAACTTCATAATTGAATGATCATTATAAGGTACTTCAGCTAACATTTCATAAATATCTTTGTGAGATAACCAATTGTGTCACTGAAATCCTTGATTTTTTTTTTAATCATTGTATAAACTACTACATTACTCTCTCTTTCTCTCTCCCCATATAGACAAATCGGTACCTATCAGATGGGGTTAGAACAAATTTCATTTCTAAATAAAAGTTGATTTTTCAAAATCATGTACTTCTCCGGAAAGATGCTAAATTATTTTTAACATCATCACACATTACATAGAAGTACATACTATAAAGTACTTGCGCATATTCTCGAGCACAATACACAATTAAGATTGTAAATGTTCCTATTAAAAAGTGACAACTTACTCAAACATTGAAAATATTTTAATCAGAATCGAACATTTCCTTTTCAGTGTTATTTATTTGGAAGATAGACAAACTACATAAACTATTGTTTGCAAATCATTAACTATTTTGGTTGTTGCAATATTTCAGATTTACCAATCGATCGAATTTGTAATATTGAGAAGCATATCACTTTGTCAAAATATTTCAGATGAGAAGAATTTGAATTATATTATACGATGATACTCTTAGTCATATGAATTGTATTATTAGGACGTCATTATTAAAGTTTGTGGTCCATATTATGATAATATGGACTCATTATTCATGATTACCAATTTCTTATGGAGAAAATAATTTAAATGCTACCTAAAAAAAAGTAGTAACTATAAATAAAAGATTTTTGTTTCTTGATATTGGTACTCATGGTACTCATACTTTTCTAAGAAAAATCAGACTTTTTTCTTTCCCATTTGCATTAACATTCTATTTATATGCATTGTTTTTTTTTTAACTTGTTTGATAGTAATAATATATTTGATAAAAGTGTGCCTTTATATTGTTTATAATATTAAAAAATTTAGAACTTTTTTTCCATTGTTTGATAAATATTAAGGACATGCTTGCTTATAAATTCAATCCAAAAAAATCCAATCATTTTTAACTGAACCACTTTTTTTAACTCAACTTTAACTCAACCTACTATCATCAATATAATTAAATAATACCAATCAATCAACCCACTATCATCAATATTATCAATATAATTAAATAATATCAATCAATCAATCATTCTTACACACAACATCAACCTTAATTTACTATTCATCTACTCACATAATTTTAACTAACCATCACATCACATCTTTCCTCTTATACTTTTACATCAATTTAATTTTAATTATTTTATTTAAAAAATTATTTTAATATACTCACTAACAATTAATCATACCAACTTTTTCAAATTTAACCAACCCAAACCAAAAACCCAATCAAACCAAAAAAAAATTATAAACAAGCATGCTCTAAGTAACTAACTCATTTTTATATTCACAAAAATATATTTTACAACCATTATGGTGTTCCATTTCAAGCAGTAATTGAATAATTGTTTAATATACGACTCATTAATTTTTTTAATTCACATAGTTAACGTAGGTAATAGTTGTATGTTTACATCCGTTTTCACTTTTTTCTTGGTATGAATATTCAAATACATGTAAAAAAAATATACCACAAGTTTATCTATTGTTATTTTATAATTAATTATGTAAATTGAGTTAACATGTGTCTATAATTTATTTTATAAGATACTTTTAGGTCAATTTATTATTTTAACTTGGTTCAATAAAAATAAATATGTTTTTTTATTTTATTACAATACATTGACCAAATCAAACATGATGGGAAAGAAATAATGTGATATATCACATAAATAAAAAATATTAAATATTTCAAATAAAAAATTTAAAAAATAAAAAAAGAATTAAGATTAACATACTGATTTCAAATATAAAAAACAAAAATATATAATTCTTTATAAATATGCATCTTAAGTATGTTTTACTTTATCATTCACTAATTGATATAGGACATTTTATAATTTTATCATTTTTTTTTTTTTTTTTTAACTTTTGGATGAAATGTGAGCTATAAGCTTTCTTGTTGTGTAGTATTATTATTATTATTATTATTATTATTATTATTATTATTATTATTATTATTATTATTATTATTATTTTTTATACGTAGAACATCATTCTTACCTCTTGTTTAATTATTATAATACTAATAAATAAAAACGGACTTTTTCAACCTAGATATATCTTTATTAAAAGGAGAAACTCTAATTATCATAAGTTAAATCATAAATACATTGAATATGTTGTATTTTGTATCATTGTCAATAATTTTCAAAATAGTTAACTGCACACAATATTATATATAGTGCAAAAATGTTTAATTTGATTTGGAGTCACTTTTACTGTAAACAAATGATAAATTTCCAATAAGTTAAATCATAAATACATTGAATATGTTGTATTTTGTATCATTGTCAATAATTTTCAAAATAGTTAACTGCACACAATATTATATATAGTGCAAAAATGTTTAATTTGATTTGGAGTCACTTTTACTGTAAACAAATGATAAATTTCCAATGAAAACATGTTACAGCGAAATTTTAATGATTTTTTTATAAGAAATTGCTTTGTGAGAATAATACAAATAAATAGATAGATGAGTAATGGTAATATAGCGAGATTATTTATTGTTAAAATTTAATTAATTTTCAAGGTATATAGGCATATCACGATTCTCCATATATTTTTAATTAATTTATCGATAATCATATGATCTAAATTAAATCATGTTGCTCAAGTGGTATCCCATTCGACATGAAAATAAATAATATGGGCTTTAATTTTATACAATTTCATATAATTGTTCTAATCTTATTTTAAGAAAGGAAATTGAGTATATTAGAAGTTTAGGCTGTAAAATAATAATTCAACCATTCTCATACTACTACACAATTTATTCTTTTTTATAGGTTATTATGAAAAACAAAAAATATTTCTATACTTTATGGGCATTATGAGGAAAAACATTATCGATTTCAATTTTCTTACTTATATTTGTTAATGTGATTTTAAATATATTTTGTCTTTTATATTATTATGATCTATTCTAATTTTTTGATAATTATTTTCAATTAACCAATCAAAAAAAAAGTACATTACATAATGGACAGTGTGAATATTGAAAGTTGAAAAAAATAATATTTAAAAGTAATAGTGAAAAAGATTGCATGAAAATTTTGGTTGAGAAACTTTTATTATCTAAGTTAGTCTTGTTTATTTGAAATTTTTTTGGTTTGGGGAAGACTGACAAATATGAACAGTAAAACTAAATTTAAATCTTTTACATGAATAATTGCATATTTGCATATGATAGTTTACACTTTTGTCTTCTTATCTTGTTGAAAGGGACCATTCTTTGTCATTATTTTTATTGACAAAATATAGCAGTTATAATTCAATAGGCATATGTTAGCAAAGTTTTTATATATTGTTCATATTATCTTCCCTTTTTTCAGTAAAATAGTTTTCGTATGCTTTTTTTTTCATTTGATCTAATTAATTATATGTTTTCGTGAGTTATAAGTATATATTAATATTCAAGTTTTGGTTGAATTTCAGATTTTTTTT